AGCAGTCTCTGATGAAATCTGTATCCAAGACTTTGAAGTGGCAGCACACAGTAAGCAGCACAACCTCAAATAATTTTCTATTGAGTTGTTTAAATTAATTAAAAATACATTTAATCCCTGCATTACATCCTTAAAATGAATGTTTTTAAAAAACATATGTATTTTTTTAATAAGTTTTTATTGTTCATATTATTACAAACGTTCCTTTCCCCCCCCCACCATTGCTCTCCTCCACCAGGTTCCCAACCCACCCTCTGCCCTTTCCCCACCCCCCATTGTCCTCATCCATAGGTGCACAGTTTATGTTCAGTCTCTTTCCACGCCCCCCTCTCCCCTTTTCCCCAAGAATCGTCAGTTCACTCCCCTTCCATACCTCTGATTCTATTATATTCAACAGTTACTATTGTTCATCAGATTTTTTTTTTAATTTCCTTGGTTTTTAGACTCACTTGTTGATAGTTACGTATTTGTTGTTCATAATTTTAATCTTTGTTTACTTTCTCTTCTGAAAGAACCCCCTTCAGCAATTCATATAATTCTGGTTTGGTGGTGATGAACTCCTTTAGCTTTTTTTTATTAGTGAAGCTCTTTATCTGACCTTCGATTATGAGTGATAGCTTTGATGGATAGATTATCTTTGGCTGTAGGTTCTTACTATTCATCACCTTGAATATTTCTTGCCATGCCCGTCTGGCCTGCATGGTTTCTGTTGAGAAGTCAGCTGACAATCGTATAGGTGCTCCTTTATAGGTAATTACCTTCGTTGCTCTTGCTTCTTTTAATATTCTCTCTTTGTCTTTTGCTCTTGGAATTTTAAGTATGATGTGTCTTGGTGTGGTCCTCTTTGGATTCCTTTTGTTTGGAGTTCTGTGCGCTTCCTGGACTTGTAAGTCTAATTCTTTCACCAGGTGGGGAAAGTTTTCTGTCACTATTTCTCTCAGTATGTTTTCGATATCTTGCTCTCTCTCATCTTCTGGGACTCCCATAATTCTGATGTTGGTTCGCTTGAAATTGTCCCAGAGGTTTCTTACATTATCTTCAACTTTCTGGATTCTCTTGCCTTCTAGCTTCTGTGGAGGAGTGTCTTCTGGCTCTTTATGTTCCAAATCTTTGACTTGATTCTTGCGATCTTCCCTTCTGTTTTTAGGACTCTGTAAAATATTTTTTATTTCAGACAATGTATTCTTTATTTCTTGTTGATCCCTTATCATTTCTTGATGACTCCTTATTAATTCTAGTTGATCTCTTTTCATATCCTCACAGGCCTTATCCATCTTTTCTAGGAAATTCTTGAAAAACCTTATAAGTGTAGATTTGAACTCTATATCCAGACGCTTTTTGTCCTCCATTTCTTTCCTTTGTGATCTATTTTGTCGTCGCATTTCGCAGTTACAGATGGGACAGGGTTTCAGGGTGGAGCCTGCAGCTTTGGCTTCCGTCAGCCCCGCCCTATGCGGGTCCTTCAGTGCTCGCTGCTGCCGGCGCCTCTGAGAGAAAGGTGCCCTCGATTTTCACCTGCTGCCAACAGTCTATGCTCTCCCACAATGAGCCCGGTATTGGGGTTCAGTTCAGTTGGAAGTGGAGTTGGAGGTGGTGTTCACAGCAGTCTGGAGCCCCTGTCTCCTTCCCTCCAGGGCAATCCCGCGGCACAGCGGACCGTCCCTTCTCTGCGAGCAGTGTGCGCGCTGCCGCCGGGACCTCCTTTCGCCGCTCCCCGGGGTTCCGCCTTACAGCCCGGCTCCCTATGGCTGAGCCTGAGTCCCTGGGGGCTGGCCTAGAACTGGGGATCAGAGCAGTCGGGGGCCCAGCACAGTCGGAGTTTTATCTCCTTTCCGCTAGGGAACGCCCACCAGGCACTCCGCCTCCCCCTCCTCTCTGGCTCCGTCCTCTCCGCGCGCTGCGTCTCCGTACCTTGGGCTTTTCCAGCTCCTCCGCGCCTCCTTCTGGTTTTCTCCTTGCTTCTCGATGTAGAATTTCCAGTCAGTCAACCTTCCTGTAGTTCTGGGCAATGTCCGTTTTATATTTTAGTTGTTTTTTTTTTTTTAATTATTGTGTGTGGCTGCGGCTAGGTGTTCACCTGGGCGCAGCCATCTTGGATCCTCTTAAACAGTCTTTAATAAAAACATATGTATTTTTAAATTGATTTCAGAGAGAAAGGGAGAGGAAGAAACATCAATGATGAGAGAATCATTGACTGGCTGCCTCCTGCTGGGCTCAAGACCGAAATCCCAGTATGTGCCTTGACCAGGAATCCAACCATGACCTCCTGGTTCATAAGTCAATGCTCAACCACCGAGCCACACCTACCAGACTGAATGTATGTTATTGACGCAACTTGTAAGTTTGCCCTTGTTTTCCTCTTTTATTTCCTGAAATCAATTTTGATCTGGCTTTATAATGTTTCCAAGTTAAAGTTAATAAAAATAATCATTGCTTAAAAAAAGTAAAATCTAAAATTCAGGAGTTCATGAAATGTATGCATTCCTTCCTGGTCTCGTTATTCCAGATGGTTAGGTTTCACTCTCTGTGCCTGGTTCTTTCACTGTCGGAAATGTGTCCGCTGATCTCTGTGGCCATGGGCAGCGTGGGAAGCGGCAGTTTAAGGTGCGGGCACTGCAGTGGACCGCGAACACATGAGAACACCAGGGAACCGCACAGACGTGAGAACAGGGATCACCGGCTGTGAGCTGCCTTCCTGCCGGCGTTTGGGTGGTGGGGGCAGCGGGAGGCTGCGCGTGCCCCTGGAGGACCGGGAGGCGCACCCACCCCGCTGCGGCCGCGGAAGGTCGCTTGGTCTGCGCCGCGTCCCCAGCAGGAGCAGCGATTGGTTGCCGAAAGGAAGGCTGGCCTCTATCCGGATCAGCGATTGGTTGCCGGGAGGAAGGCGGGCCTCTATCCGGATCAGCGATTGGCTGCCGGGAGGAAGGCGGGCCTCTGGCCGGAGGCGGCGGGAGGAGCGCGCTCCTCCGCTGGGTTAGCGGCCCCGCGGGGCTGGGGGCTGAGCCGTCCGAGCAGCATCGGTGAGCCCCCTGGTCTCCGGCAGGCGGCGGCCCGGCCCGCTGCGGCCACCGCGGGGAGCGGAGTTGAAGCGGGACCCCCAGCTCAGAGGCACCTCCCTGCTCCCCAATTGGGCGGCTGCGCTCGGGAGCCCCATCCCTCAGTCCGCGAGGGATTCCGGGGACGGCTGACCGGTGCCGCGCTGTCCGGTGCGGCAAGAGCCGGCTGGCTACCCTGAGGGCCCTCGGGCAGAGGGCGACGTCAGCGCCCGCTCCCCACGCAGCCCCAGAGGTCAGCGGACACGGGTTCCCAGCAGCGAAAGAACCAGGCACAGAGTGAAAGCTGACAACCCGGAAGGCCAGGAAGGAATGCATAGTCATGGAACCCTGACCTCAGCACTCCCCCAGCTCCTCCGTGGGCTCGCGTCTGCATTCATAGTGCATGTGCCCGGAGGGAGGGCGGGGGAGGCGCGCCCCGGGACCCCCGGCTGGCGCTGCGCCGAGAAGCACCGCCCGACAACGTGCCGAGGGCGGCTGGTGCTCCGGCCGCAGCGGCTCGCTGTCAGCGCCAGCTGGCCCATAACCATGCTGGAGCCACACCCCCAGGGCACCACAGCAGCCGCCCTCATCTATGCTGGGCAGGCAGGACAGCAAAAGCAGCGACTTCTTGTGCCCCAGCTAAGGGAGCCTTGCTGAGAGGCACACCTGGAGGCAGCTATGCAAACGCCAATATAGAGTCTGCGGGCCAACTCACCAGGTGGGGCCTTTACTACCTGGCCCCCAGCTGAGCCCCACACCTACTTCCTTGTCAGTCCTCCTCCTATTCCTCTGGTGGGCGGGGGGCGGCGGTTAGTACAGGCCCCAGATGCTCGGGAGAGCCTGGGGATTGGGGTGTCCCACAGCCGCTGTGCTCTCAGGTGTTTCCTGTCTTCCCACTTGAGCTGTTTTCTCTGTCCCATCTGCTTTCCCCAGCTTGCGTGTCCTCTGCCTCGCCTGCCAGGGTACTTTCGATGTCCTGCCTCTTCAGGTAATGCTCACAGACGTGGCCACTGTCACATCCCACCTGCCCCTCCTGCCTCATGGTTCTCCTTAGCTACTAGCCTCCTTGGCCTCTGACAGATGGGAAGTTTGCAGGCAGAAATGGCAGCGGAGCGAGCTTTCTTGAAAGACATCTGTACACCAGAAGCGCAGCTGCTGCCTGAGTGATGGCCTCGGCCTGGCTGCCCTGTCCCAGATCCGGTGCCTCAGGGCAGCATTCTCCAGCCACGTGGGCAGCATTAGCCCTGGGGCCTAGGCTAAGGCCACGTGGTTCCCAAAGTCTGGCACAGCCAAGCGGCACACGTGAATCAAGCTCAGACTCCAGAGGCAGCAGGGCAGGGTGGACATTCCCTGGCCAGAAGGAAGAGGTATGTGTGTGTCTGGGTTCCGGATGCCAAGAGCCTCCTTTATCATCCCGAGGCCACTGCCTCTGCAGACCTGAGAAGTGACCTGAGAGTCAGGCCCATTCCAAGTCCCAAGGCAGCTCAGCAATGATGCATGCACAGCCCTCTTGATCTTGTGCTAGACGGCAAGATTCTTCGGGCCTGGTTAACGGACAGAACATGGACCAGGGTCACGTACTGTATGCCTGCTGGTCCAGACCTCCAGAATGACCAGACTCTCCCTGCGGTCACACCTGCTCTGCTCCAGGGAGAGTGGGTGTGACAGTCCACAGGAAAGGGCTGCAAAGTGCCCAAGCAAATGGGGGGCTGCAGAGAGGCACGGGGCTGGTGCCTGGGCTGCACCGGCAGAGTGCCTACAAAGGAATCAGGATTCCTGCGCCTCCGGTGCAAAATCACTCACTGCCCACACGCCCACGTAAAATACTGAATTTATTCTGCCTTGTAGAAAGAACTCTACTGCCTCCTGCCCTGGAGGCCAGGCCTGCCTGTGCCCTGCCTCTCCCTCGGCCTAGTTCCCAGGGACCAGGCGCTGGCCCTTCTCCTCCAGTCCCATGGCCGCTGCTTAGGAAGCAGGGTCGGAGCCTGAGGAACCCGAGGGCGCAGGGGGGGACCCTGGGGCGGGGCTCCTCGGGCTGGGCGGCTCTGGCGGGGCTGGGAGCGGCGCTGGCGGGGCTGGGAGCGGCGCTGGGTGGCTCTTGCTGCAGTGAGCGGCCACGCTGTCCGGCTTCTCGAAGCACTTGCCGCAGAGCTGGCAGGGGAAGCGCAGGGTGGCCGCGGTCTCGGCGTGCTTGCGCCGGTGCCAGTTCAGGGAGGCCTTCTGGCGGCAGGTGAACCCGCAGATCTCACACCTGTGCAGGGCCAGCAGAGGGGAGTCAGGGGCCTCGGCCCAGCGGCCTGAGTGTCCTGCCAGCCCCACCCCCAACACCCACACTCACTGCAGCGGCTTCTCTCCAGTGTGGATGCGCCGGTGGATGACCAGGTTGCTGCTGGTGCGGAAAGACCGGGCGCAGAATTCACAGATGTAGTCCCGGGTGTCTGCGGGGGCATGGGGACACCCCAGCATCCATCTCCAGGCTGTGGCCCCTCCTCAGCCCCTCCACCAGTCCCACAGGAGTACTGTCCCCACTCAGCCTACACATCACATTCATCCTGGCCCCCAACAACGGCCTGTGGCTGTCAGCAATCCCCTCTCTGTTTTTTTTTCTGGAACCTGCCCTTCCTGCCAGCTCCAAGCTTCTCAAGGGCCCTTTGGACCTGCTACAGCACTGCGTATACCCTGCCATCAGACCACACGCTGGCAGCCTTCGGCTCTGTTACTCCCCTGGGCGCCATGCAATACTGGCTCCAGGCCTCTCTCCAGTATCCTAGCGTCAGTTCGCTTCCCACTTGGCCAGCACTCAAGTCTGTTCCGTGATGTGACCTTCACTGACCTAGCAGCCCACCTTCTCAACCACCACTCCCAAGACATACCCCATCACCACAGTTTCAACCATCGAGTTCCAGCCACGGCCTGCCTACAACACCTGCCTTGTCACTGTGATAATCCAGTGACTCCAGGCTGCCAGCAGGGGCCCAATGCAGCCCCCAGTCCCGCCTTGCCCTGAGCTGTTTCTAGGACAGCGTGTGGCCTTCCGTCACTCACACCAATTTACCTGTCCCTCTCCCTCAGCTGTGGCTGCTGGGTTAAAACCAATGCAGCATGAACACAACCCTTGGCCTGCCCTCGTATACTGAAGGGGCAGAAACCCTCCCCTCAGCCTCGTTCCTCCACCACAGCTCTCCAAGGCCACCCATGCTCCGCACTGCCTGGTCAGCTCGCTCAGCCCTTTGGAGACCAGAGGCAGGTTCACACCGCCTCCTCTCAGCAGCTCCTTGCAGCACTGAGCTCGAAGCCATCAATAAGAGTCAAGCCCAGACAGGATGCTCACATCCTGCCCCAGATCACCAGCCAGAATGCTCTGTGCCACATACTGACTGCCGCCTGCTCCTCTGCGGCACCTTCCAGCTGACCGGCGGTTGTCCCCTGCCGCCCAATCAGTCAGTCTTTCCTCTCTGAGTCCCAAGCTCTTAGCTAAGACCCCAAATCTCTGCTTGTTTTCTCAGCAATTCCCAGAGTTGTTCACATTCACCGTCTCCACTTCCTTAGCTTCTTCCTCCTGGAACTCCTCCGTTCGGGCTGTCATTCCCCTCGTCACCACCATCTAGTCCAGGACAGCCTCCCACTGTGGCTGTGACCTGCCCTCCCCTCCCCCTCAGCCCTGTGCACCGCACAGCGCCGCTCCCCAGACTCTGCTTGGTCCTTCAATACCAGATGCCTTGCCTGCCTCGCCGGCTCCTCTGCAGCTGCCTTTCCTACCTGCCCGCTCGAGCCTCTTTACCTTCCGTGTGGGGTCATGCCACCCCCAGCTCCAAAACCACCCACGTGCTTATGACAAACCCACACCCCAAACTCCGGATTCACATGCTAATAGGTACCCCAACCTTCTGAGGTACCTCTCAGAATGCCCAAATGAAATGTCCCTTTCCTACAGCCTGTGTCTGTTTCAGGAAGCCATTACCTGCTGCCCCGCTGCTCAGGCTGGAATCCCCCGAGTCACCGACTCCTCTCGCCCACTCCGCCTGTGCTAATGTGTCCGTCCCACGGCAGCCCTCCGGATCCACTCCATCAGCGTCCAGACCCATCCCTGCGCCCTGCACACCCTGCCTCCCCCCTCCACATCCCTGCGCCCTGCACACCCTGCCTCCCTCCTCCACATCCCTGCACCCTGCACACCCTGCCTCCCCACCCCACAACCCTGCGCCCTGCACACCCTGCCTCCCCACCCCACATCCCTGCGCCCTGCACACCCTGCCTCCCCCCTCCACATCCCTGCGCCCTGCACACCCTGCCTCCCCACCCCACATCCCTGCGCCCTGCACACCTTGCCTCCCCACCCCACATCCCTGCGCCCTGCACACCCTGCCTCCCCCCTCCACATCCCTGCGCCCTGCACACCCTGCCTCCCCCCTCCACATCCCTGCGCCCTGCACACCCTGCCTCCCCCCTCCACATCCCTGCGCCCTGCACACCCTGCCTCTCCACCCCACATCCCTGCGCCCTGCACACACCTGCCTCCCCCTCCACATCCCTGCGCCCTGCACACCCTGCCTCCCCCTCCACATCCCTGCGCCCTGCACATCCTGCTCCCCCCTCCACATCCCTGCGCCCTGCACACCTGCCTCCCCCCTCCACATCCCTGCGCCCTGCACACCCTGCCTCCCCCCTCCACATCCCTGCGCCCTGCACACCCTGCCTCCCCCCTCCACATCCCTGCGCCCTGCACACCCTGCCTCCCCCCTCCACATCCCTGCGCCCTGCACATCCTGCCTCCCCCCTCCACATCCCTGCGCCCTGCACACCCTGCCTCCCCCCTCCACATCCCTGCGCCCTGCACACCCTGCCTCCCCCCTCCACATCCCTGCGCCCTGCACATCCTGCCTCCCCCCTCCACATCCCTGCGCCCTGCACACCCTGCCTCCCCCCTCCACATCCCTGCGCCCTGCACACCCTGCCTCCCCACCCCACGTGGCAGCCACAGCTCTTCTTGTTTTTTTAATTCCTCACCCAAGGATATTTTTTCCATGGATTTTTAGGCAGAGTGGAAGGAAAAGGGAGAGACAGAGAGAAACACCGAGGGGACAGAGACACATTGATTAGTTGCCTCCCGCATGCCCCCGACGAGGGCCTGGTGCCTGCAACCAAGATGTGTGCCCTTAACTGGAATCGAACCTGGGACCCTTTGGTCCACAGGCCGACGCTCTATCCACTGAGCCAAACTGACTAGGGCCACAGCTCTCCTTTTAAAGTCAGCTGTGTCCCTTCCCTGCTCCAGACCCTGAGGTGCAATCCATCTCATCTGCCCAGGAGCCAAGCCACCCTCATGGAAGTCTGGGGGCCCCACCACCGGTCTGTCTGCTCATCCTTCACGGCTGCTCGTAGAGGTGGACGCGTCTCCACTTCTCCTTTCTCTGAGGCCTTCGCTCAAAGCACTTTCCCTTTCTCCAAGAGCAACTCCCCCGCACGCCTCACTCCCAGGCCTCACTCCGGCCGTGCTCCGGGTCAGGGGGCGGACGGCGTCGTGAGGCCTGCCTGCTTCCTCACTGAGGCTTCCAGCACCCACAGCGGGTACGTGCTCAACACACAGGGAGCTCTGCATGACGAGTGTGCGCGTCACCGAGAGAGTGTGACCGGGACCGCGGACGCTGAGGGGCCCACAGGGGCGGCGAGGGATCACAGGTGGGAAGGTAAAGAACCCCAAGAGGAGGTGGACGGCCACAGGAGGACATGGCAGGCCCTCAGTGGCGGTAAGGGCGCCACAGAGGGAGATGAGGGGGCCCCAGGGGGTGCTGAAAGGACCCACAGGGAAACGAGGAGGCGCTCCCCCCACTGACCACTGTGCAGCTTCACGTGCTCCTTCAGGTGCTTCTTGAAGTTGAAGGACTTCCCGCAGGCGGGCTCCGGGCAGGAGAAGGACTTCTGGTGGATGTGCTGGTACTTCTTGTGGTGCTAGAGGAAGGGAACAAGCCCTCAGGGAGACCGAGCCGGCCCACCGACAGGCTCCTCTGTCGGAAAGGAAGCCGCCAGCACGGCTCACATCCCATCCCCACCACAGATCCCGACCAGAGTGCCCTCATCTGTTGTCGCCTCGACTTCTGTGACCTCACCTCCTTGCCACAACTTCCCCCCGTAATGCCCAGCTCCCCACTGTGGCTGTGCTGTCTGCGGGGTGGACAGACCGCAGGGCTACGACTCCCTCTTCACTGTCGATATTCAAGCACAGCATCACCCGACGGTCACCACGGACATATGCTGTCCAGTTTTCTCTGACATGTTTGGACACACATACTCTCAACTCGGAACACTCTGAAGGGTCGTGTGATCTGCGACCTTGACTTCCAGGTACTTCTGGAATACACTTCTCTCCTAGTGGGACCCAGCTCCACACCCGCTTCCCCCTCCAAGATCCCACATTCTTTCCTTTCTTCTGATTTCATTTTAATTATTTTTCCCGTCACTATTTATCCCCTCTATGCCCTCTTACGCCTCCATCCACCCTCCTCCATACCCTCAGTCACCCCTGCTGTCCAGTAATGAGCTCTGTCTGAGCGAGCTGCCGCTGGGGCTGCTTCCGTCTCCTCGAACAGGCTCAGTGTCTGCCAGCCCTGTTCCATGTCCACAGCCCAGAGCTTCGCTTCCCCTGAGGACTCTCCCTCTCCTTGCTCCTGGAACACCCCCTCACCAGCCCTGTGTGAGCTCTCCTCAGACCCCAGACCCTGCCGGAGGGCTCAGGCTGAGTGTAGGGGTGGGCCCTGCCCTCTCTGTGCCTCAAACTTGTGACTATGGGCCAAACCTGGAGACCCAGCGCTATCACACACTCGCTGAGGAGCCTGGACAGCGTTCCACCGTGTGTACCCTGGCTTCCTGGTTTGCAAAGTGGGAGCAGCATCAGCATCTGCTCCCTAAGGACGTTTCGAAGATCAAAAGATCAAGTGCTTGTAACAGTCACCCTCACCCAGAGGACCTGAGGATGACCGTCCCTCCTGTGGTCGCTGGAGGCCATGCACCCAGCAGCAGTGGCAGTGGCAGTGTCCACGGCTGGGCTTTCGGCCTCCCCTGTCAGTCACCTGGCTTAGTGGTTAGTAACTGCGGTGAGTCTGCAAGTCTACCCCAGCCCTTGTTTCCCTGACTTCCGGTCCCCCCTCCCCGAGGCCACAGGAACCCAGCCTGTGCCTTCACAGCCTCACGTTCAAATACTGCCGGTTGGAGAAGATCCTCCCGCAGCCAGGGTAGTCACAGGGCAGCAGCTCCTTTTTGGCAGCTTTCCTGGGGAGCAGAAGAGGGAGGAGCTGAGGACTCCCGCGGGCTCTCCTCTCAGCCCCCTCCTTCCTCTCAGCCACCGCCTCCTCTCAGCCCCCTCCCTCCTCTCACCCCCCCCGCAGCCCCCCCTTCTCTCAGCCCCCCCTCTCGGCCCCCCCTCCTCTCAGCCCTCTCCCTCCTCTCAGCCCCCTCCCTCCTCTCAGCGCCCCCTCTCAGCCCCCCCCCTCAGCCCCCTCCCCCCTCTCAGCCCCCCCTCCTCTCAGCCCCCCTCCTCTCAGGCCCCTCCCTCCTCTTAGCCCCCTCCCTCATCTCAGCTCCCCCCTCTCAGCCCCTCCCTCCTCTCAGCCCCCCTCCTCTCAGCCCTCCCTCCTCTCAGCCCTCCCTCCTCTCAGGCCCCTCCCTCCTCTCAGCCCCTCCCCCCTCTCAGCCCCTCCCTCCTCTCAGCCCCCCTCCTCTCAGGCCCCCCTCCTCTCAGGCCCCTCCCTCCTCTCAGCCCCCCCCCCCCCCCCCCCCCCCCCCCCCCCCCCCCCCCCCCCCCCCCCCCCCCCCCCCCCCCCCCCCCCCCCCCCCCCCCCCCCCCCCCCCCCCCCCCCAGCCCCTCCCTCCTCTCAGGCCCCCCTCCTCTCAGCCCTCCCTCCTCTCAGCCCCTCCCTCCTCTCAGCCCCCCTCCTCTCAGCCCCCTCCCTCATCTCAGCTCCCTCCTCTCAGCTTCCCCCTCTTAGCCCCTCCCTCCTCTCAGCCCCCCCTCCTCTCAGCCCCCCTCCTCTCAGCCCCCCCTCCTCTCAGCCCTCCCTCCTCTCAGCCCCCCTCCTCTCAGCCCCCTCCCTCATCTCAGCTCCCCCCTCTCAGCCCTCCCTCCTCTCAGGCCCCCCCCCTCCTCTCAGGCCCCTCCCTCCTCTCAGCCCTCCCCCCTCTCAGCCCCTCCCTCCTCTCAGCCCTCCCTCCTCTCAGGCCCCTCCCTCCTCTCAGCCCCGCCCTCAGCCCGCTCCCCAGCCCCCTCCCCCCTCTCAGCCCCTCCCTCCTCTCAGGCCCCCCCCCTCAGCCCGCTCCCCAGCCTTACCTGATTCTCTTGGGGCCAATCTGTGCACTGTCCTCATCCCAGGCTCCCGCCGGAGCAGACTGGACCTGACTCCCAGGGCTACGAGCAGCAAAGAGGGAGGAGAGGCCTCGAGGAAGGGCCACGTCCCAGGACACCCCTGCCTTCTGCCTCAGCCAAGCGGTTACCTGGCCGGGGGCTCGGTGTGCTGGGCCCCGTGAGGGGTGCGATCGCGCGCCGGCTCCCCCTCACCTTCCTCAGGCAGAGGGGCTCCGGAACCCAGGGAGGGTGCCGCGGAGGGCGGCGCAGCGGGCGGGGCGGGGGCAGCCGCGGGGGCAGCCGCGGGGGCCGGAGGGGCCTCTCCCTCCGTAAGGGCCTGGGTGGCAGGGGAAGGGTGTGGTCCGGGGGCATCTGGCTCACAACTGACAGGAGGAGGAGGAGGACGTTAACTCCCTGGGCCCTCAGCCACCTCAACCCCACCCCAGCCCCAAAGTGAGCCGATCCCAAACTCAGAACAACTCCGCCCAGGCTTCTCCTCACATCTGCCTTCGGCCTTCATCCTCCCGTGAAGCCTAACTGAACACTTTCCACCCAACCCCAAGCCTCCATTCTCTCCGCCTCTCCCACCAAGTCTGCGAGCTCTGCGTCCCTGGTCAGCGGCCCCGCCTCCGGCTCTGCTCAGGGCCCTCAGCCCCACTTGCTTGTCTGAGGAGGAGCTGTAGGTCCAGGGGCTGGCGTCACTGAGCCCCTCCTCTTCGCTCTCATCTTCATCCTCCCCCTCGCCGTCTCCTGGAGGCGGGAAGGACTCGGGCGAGGGTCCCATTTCCCTGCAGGGACAGTGACGGCAAGCCCGAGGTTCTGACCCTCCCCCCTCCTGCCCACCCATCCAGCTTGTCCGTCCTTCACCAGCCTCACCTGGGCAGCCTCGCCTCCTGAGGCCTCTCCTCATGTTCAGAATCCAAACCTGTTGGCACGGGTGGGGTTAAGGGGTGAGCAACTGTGGCTGGAGGGATGAGGGCAGGTGGACTCTAAGATCTGAACTCACGGGAGGGCTCTTAGGAAGGGGCAGAGGCTACTACAGTGGGAAAAGGTATTTTATTTTAAAGATGACACACTCACACGGTTAAGGAAAGCACACACAAGTATAAAAAGGCACACTGTGAAAAGTCTCCTTCCCAGTACTGCCCCCTGGTGGCCTAACTCTCCCCACAGGCGATCTGGCTTCCACCGGCCTTCCCAGAGAGATCTCTTTCTTTGAAAAGTGCTTTCTCCCCTTATTTTCCCACCAAAACACATGCTGAATATCCCATCATGTACTTTCCTTTTTACACCTAAAACATAGTAAGGACATATTTCCTGGACACATGGTTTCCCCATTGAGAACAGATCGTTTTTAGAGCCAAAGGTCGTGAGCTCCAGAGACGGAAACCCCTTTCCCTTCCTGCTCTCCACAGCTTTCCTTTCCCGCCTACCTGCGGGCTCCTGCCCACCCCTGGCCTCTGGGCGCCAGCTCCTCTGGGAAGCACTCGGAGGGAGGGCTGGCGTGGGCTCCGCTGGAGGCGTGGGGCCTGAGGAGGGGCCCCAGGAGAAGGTGTGGCCCGCGGAGCACTCCCACACAAGCCCACCATCGCGGCCCTCGGGCCCCCGCAGCCCGGGCAGCAGGCTGCACTCCTGGCTGTGGGCATGAGAGAGGAGCACCAGACACTGCAGTCCCTGGGGGGGCAAAGGCTTAGCACCTAAAGGGGCGAAGGTGACAGTCAGAGCAAGCTGGGTCGCCCCCTATTCTCGCCCTTCTGAGAGCCACACCCAGAGAGCCCTGCCTGGCAACACCCGGGGGCAGCCCTGGTCCCTGGTCCCGTCCACCATTCTCAGTCTGCTCAGTCCCTTCCCCAGTCTGCTCTCACCTCCTGCCCTGGCGCCCCGACGCCTAGCTCTTCCCAAACCCCCGCAGGGCTCCCTCCGACCCAGGCCCTTAGGGAGAGGATCCTGGGTCCCTCTATGGCACCTGAGCGCCTGCCCCCAGCCGCTGCCTACCCACCTGCACAGAGCACACAGCCCGGAGAGGTGTACCTGCCAGGGGGACAAGAGGCTGGTCAGGTCGGGCCCCAGTCAGACAAGTGTCCTCAGCCCAGGGCACTCACACACTTAGGGGGCAAGCTCTAAGGTTCCCCTAGGCGATGGGGGCGAAGGGGGCGGGCAGGACGCTGGGAGGCCACCCATCACTCAGTCCATGCCACACCGCTGGGTGAGCGATGGGCCAGCACTGGGGTGAGGATGGGGGACTCCGGGTGCCCCCTCATCCCTCCTCCATCCCCGCGCAGCCCTAACCGGTCCAGCAGGAACTTGGCGAGCTGCGAGTGCAGGGAGAAGCCCAGCTGCTCCTTGAGGAGGCACCACTGCTCCATGTGGCCGCCCAGGCGGATGCGACACTTGCTGCGGCGCGCGTCCAGCTGCCGCCGCTTCTCCCGCCGCCTGCGGGAGGCGTCGGCCTCCGCCGGGGAGGCGGCCATGGGCCGGGGCCCTGCAAGGCGGAGGGCGCGCGTGGGCCGGCCGCCCCCGCCCCGCGCCCGCCGGCCTCCGCGGCCTCGGCGGGGGGCGGGCAGGCCCAAACCGCTGCCATAGCGCCCGCGGCAGTCGGCGGGAGGGCGGGGACCCGAGGGGCAGGAGCGGCGGGCGGGGCGTGCTTCTCCCGCGGGGAGCTCCTCCCGGAGGGGGGCCGGGTGGGAAGCAGCTTCAACGGCAGGGGCGCGTCCTGGAGGCGGGGGGCCCCGGCCCCGGGCCGCCGCGCCGAGCACGTACAGCGAGCGGACCGGGTCCTGCACAGGCCATCCCAGGCCGCCTCGAGCGCCCGCCCGGCCCGGCCTTACCAGCTTCCACGGCGCCTGCGCCGCCGCCGAGCGCGGGCGGGACCGCGGTGTGAGGACGGGGCCCACCTTCCGCGCCCGTCGCCGTTTCTCCTTTAAGAGCAGCCCGGCTGCTGGCTCCTGAGTGGCCCCCGCGGGACGGGGCGGCCGCGGAGGAAGGGGCGGGCCCGACGCGCGCCTGCGCACTGCCGCCCGCCAGCCGCCCGCTGCCCAGCGCGCACGCGCGGAGTGCGGGGCGGGGCGGGGCGGGGCGGGGCGGGGCGGGCGGAGGTTGGGGGTCTGTCTCTTCGTGGCGCTCACCTGCAGAGGGTTTCCAGAGGCTTGGGGAACCGTGCTCGGACCCAGCCCTCCAGCCTGCACCCTCACCTCCCCCTCATTATTCCTAGTTTGTCCTTCCGCTTCAGTCCCGCCTTCCTATTGCCACCAGCAAACGCGAGCTGCAGAACCAGCGGCCGTTCTTCCTACAGTGGCCCGCGGAACTTTCCTGGCCGCCAAGCCACTGGCACGCGCTTCCCAAGGCCACTGGCGGTGTCCACGTGGGGTCAGCTCTCTGACCCGCCGCCCCTGGAGCAGCATCTGACCGCCTGGGCTGCTGTGCCTGCACACGCTCCTGCGTTCTTCCGGCCTGGCGCCTTTCCTTGGTTGCACCCTCTGCTGTCCCACCAACACACAGACACACAGATCGTGTCCCCCGCCTCAAGCCCTGGACCAAGTTTTCTCTCTTCTTGGGCTATCAAAGTGGTCCCATGGCTTTAAGTAAATACAACGGATGGCTCCCAGATTTATATTTCCAACCTGGCCTTCTTTTGGCTCCAGACTCTTCATGGATAAGTGAGTTGTGAACTTAGCATGATACATACTATTTGATATTCTCTCACAGATGACTCTGGCCAACACTTGTGGAGTCGAAACCTGGGTTCAAAATAAGACCACCGAAGGCTGATTAATTAATTTAAAAAGAAGCAGGCAAGGATTTATTGAAATAAAAACTGGCCAGGACAGCCGCGAGAGCACCACACGCAGGTGGTCTCCACACGACTGCCCTGTTTCAGGGGTAGGCAATTCCTTTTAAAGGTTTAAACCGCAAGAATTTTCCTTTTGTTCCTAAATCCTAAAGACTACATTCTAAAGACTGGGGACAGCCCGCAGGGTCGGTTCCAGTCACGTCCTGCTGGACATTGAAATGTGGCCCTATCTCGCAATAGCGATAACACAGAAGCAGAGCTCAGCGGTTAGTCTCTAAAGGTTATCTACAGTTTCTATCCCTGAAGCTACTGAGTCAGTGGGAATTAATCTTCTGTGGTGCTGGTCCCAGGCAAGGGAAAATTGCCTTAGCCTCCAGGCCTCCACCTGGAAGCTGAGGTAAGTACCCAGTGTTTTAATCAGATGCAAGAGCCAGACTTAGCAGGGTTAAAATTCAAACAGCAGTGTTTTACCAAAGTATGGTTGCCACTATATTTCAAACACATAACACCTAATCATTCTTGCCCGCCCTGCACCCCCTTTCCTGTCTCAGCCACCCACTTGCACAGAACAAAAACCTAGAGCATGGGCCTGAACTGGGTCACAGCACACACGATCTGGTCCAAGAGGACTCTCTTTGCCCCGTGAGCACCTAAAACACAAAGCTCTCTCATGACTAGGTCTCGGGCAGCACCCCTGCTGTCAGATTTCCGAGGGCTGAATCTAACTCCTGCCTCTCTTCTAGTCATTCTTGCCCCCTCTCCCAAGCTGCGCTTCCGGCCCCGGTGTCCCTGGGCACAGGTGTACAAAGGATACCTGCTTGCGGACTTACTGAGGCAGGATAGTGAGAAGCTAGTAAAGTTCCTGGGCATGGAGGATGGGGAAACTGTGACAAGATAATTCAACAAGGCCTAACAGTTTGTCCGATTTACAGCCAGCCAGTGGATCTTAAGAACTTACCTTCCCTAAACAAGGGTACTTGAGAACAAATGGTTAATACCTCTCCTTCTTGCTCAGAGAATAAATAGCTTAAGTAATTCTGGTAAGGGAGACTCAGATAATGCCATTTGTGCCAGCTAAACCCAAGGACGGATGAAGTCAAGGGAACAAATAGCAAAAACCAGATAAGAGCCAGACAGACCCATGGTAAAAGTAGAACAGTAAACCCGACCAAAGAATAATCCCAAACTCCCTGTTGTGGGGTCGAACCCTGGGTTCAAAATAAGACCACCAGAGGCTGATGATTGATTAAAAAAGCAGGCAAGGATTTATTGAAAAACTGGCCAGGACAGCCGCAAGAGCACCACACGCAGGTGGACTCCACATAACCGCACCGTTTCAGGGGTAGGCAATCCCTTTTAAAGGTTCAAATCACAGGAATTTTCCTTTGTTCTAAATTCTAAATCCTAAAGACTACATTCTAAAGACTGGGGTCAGCCCTCAGGGTCATTCCCAGTCACATCCTGCTGGACATTGGAATGTGGCCCTATTTTGCGATAGCCGATAACAGAGAAGCATAGCTCAGAGGTTATCTACAGTTTCTGTCTCTGAAGGTTATCTACGGTTTCTGTCTCTGAAGGTTACTGAGTCAGTGGGAATTAATCTCCTGTGGTCCTGGTCCCAGGCAAGGAAAAATTGCCTTGGCCTCCAGGTCTCCACCTGGAAGCTAAGGTAAAAATTCTGTGTTTAATCAGGTGCAGGAGCCAGACTTAGCAGGGTTAAAATTCAAACAGCAGTTTTTGCCTGAGATGTCTATTCTTAATGTCTTATTTCACTCCCCTGTATACTCCTTCTGATGCAGCAGCAGCAGCAGCATTAAAAAATGTGCTTGAGGCCCTGACTGCTGTGGCTCAGTGGATGGAGTGTTGGCCTGCGGACTGAAGGGTCTCAGGTTTGATTCCAGCCAAGGGCACATGCCCAGTTGCGAGCTTGATCTCCATCAGGGGGTGTGCAGGAGGCAGCCAATCAATGATTCTCTCTCATCATTGATATCTCTGTCTTTCTCCCTCTCCCTTCCTCTCTGAAATTAATAAATATATATATATTTTTTAAAAATGCACTTGAGAAGCTGGTGAGTGTTCTGTTGGGGACCCTCCACCTAAGAGAGAAATGCTCAAGACAAAGCATACCAGCATGGGCTCTCTCGGGGGCACGCCCATGCCCTGCTCAGGCATGAACTTTTTATTTTCTTTCTCCTAAACTCTAGGGTCCCCAAGGGACTTGCAACCAGGGGAGCAAAGGGCAGCAGCAGGACATCCCAGGCTCACCCCTGGTCCTGTCTCCAAGGTCCTCCTTTTCTCTGACTTCACAGTGAGCTAATGCAGCCCTACCCAGGCTCACTCTGTCTCTGTGACCTTCCCTTCCCCGTGAGCTCACAGCAGCCCTGCCCAGGCCACTTCTTCCCTGTAACATTCCCGGGAGCCAAGCAGAGCCCGCCCACGCTCTCTCCTGCTGCTGCTGCTGCTGCTGCTGCTGCTGCCGCCACCCTACATCCTTCCTTTGGCGCAGTGTCCCCAGTACATTTAATAAACGTGCTCCCAGAATCACCTGGACTGCTGCTGTGCAATCTTTCCTGCACAAAGTCAAGAACCACACACTATGGGCCGGCTTGAGGCAGACCTGGTCTGGACCTGGTCCCTGTCTGGGAAGATTACAGTGTAAGTCAGTTATCACCCAGGCTGTGGCAGAGATCCTGGGGTGTGTTGCAGAAAAAGGTAAAGGTATTTCCAGAATAAATGTCCAGGAAGAAAAACAACACAAAACATGGGGACTCAGGCAGACCATCTCGGGCACTTAGAACCCAAGTTCCTGGACCCCTCCTTATGGCTCCACCTCTGCTGAGGACGAAAGTGAAGAGAAACCTGATTTGGTCTCAGGAAAACCTGTTTTTTTTGTGGCTGGATAGGTGAGGAGAGCTCAAAGATGGCGTTCCTCTAGTAAAGGGAGTGCCTCTCTTTACCCTTTGCCTTCCCTAACCCCTTCCCCAATTCAGTATTTCTCCGCATAGTCATTTCACCCCGGGCCAGGCCTCTGTGCTGTGGCCCCTCTGTGCATTCACAGATAGAGATGGAAGACTAGAAGCCAGACTGGAAAGGACGTGGTCTTGACAAACGCTAGTCCCCTAAGTCAGGCCTACTGCGCCCTCTACCTTTTCTTCGGCTACATGTTGGCGGGCTAGGACTCCAACTGGAATCCCCTAAGCTTTCCTCTCATTCTGCTCCACTTCCTGTGTTCATTCTGCTCCACTTCCTGTGTTCATTCTTTCCCTCTCATCTCTATTCTTCATCCCTGTTCTCTCCACTTACTGTCATTTGGCATCTAACATACCCATGTCCTTCCTTTCTGGCCCTCATTGTACATTCTTGGTTCCTTTTTCTTTCCTTCCTTGTCTTCCCTTCTCCTCGCTCCATTCTTCCAGCTTTCTTCTGTACCTACAAAGTTTTACATTGAGCCAAAAAGGGATCCAACCTATCTTCCGCCATCTTTCAGCATCAGGCTTTTAATACAGAATTTGTGAGCCATCAACATTCTAAGTTCTTCCTCCTGATTCTGTTCCTGTTGCATCCCCCTCCTGGCTCACTCAGCCCGTCCAGCACACCTTATCGGGTGGTTCCCCAAATGGCCATCTCTCCTTGCTTTCCCCTCCCAGGGCCTGGTGAGCCTTAGGCCTCCCCGGACCGCAGTCCAGCTGGTGGGAACTGAAACCCCTCTGCCAGTGAGTTCTGGGAAACATGCTGTAATGTCCTGGCTGTCAGTCTTCAGTTTACTCTTTCTAGGAGCACCCACACCAGTGTGTACCTAAGCTTCCTGTTCGGAGCCCTGAGCAGAGACTGTGGTCTGCTGGATCAGAGTGGTGGGTTTCACTAGCCTTCACACCCTTCAGGCTTTCTCCTAAACTCATGGAGGCTAACACCCCATCCTCTGCTCCTAGATCAAATTCTAATGAAAGATGCTCCTCCAGACAGACCCACATGATGGACTTGATCACAGAGCATCTCTAACGGTCCCAGAAGCGCGCCATAGTTGTGTGTAAAAATGGTCCCCAGCAGTGTCCCTCCCACAGCCCTGCTTGGAATGCCTGGGAAAGGGCATAGCATGTTAACAGCCCCAACTGTAAAATAAAGTGAGAAAGTGTTTAGTGGAAATATAATTGGGGAGGACTTTTGTTGTAAGGGCCACTCCTGATTATGGTCTCT